TATATTGAGTACATTTTTAATTAATTCATTTTCTTTTTCGGCTTAGTCCCTTTATTAATCAAGGGTCGCCACAGTGGAACGATCCGCCAATTATCCAGCTTATGTTTTACGCTGCTGATGCCCTTCCAGCTGCACTGGCAAATACATTTTAATAATGATTATTATTTTTAATATATTGTTATATAGCACAAATAATAAATAATTATGTTAAATTGTATTTATTTGGTTTGTTTTTTTTATTTTCAATGAACTATCAATTGCCTTGGGGTCAGTGCTGTTTTGTTTACTAATATTTTAGTTATTTTTGTTAATTGTATATTAATTTCTTTTTTAATGTTAATTTTTCCACTTTATTCTTAGGTAAATTGGGTAATTTTGTGTGTTTTGATCAGCATAATAATATATATATATTTATACAACAGTTCTGTCTGGTTCTCAAATCTGATTGGCTGATAGCCGTGCGATATTCTGCAATATCAGAACTCCCACAGCCTCTTTACCCTTTGTGTATCACTCCGCCCACATACAGCCAGCAAAAAGCAGACACTACAGATCTAGGGCCCTATCATACACCCGGCGCAGTGTGGCGCAAGGCGTGTCGCAGTAGTCTTTTGGTAGTTTCAGCTTGGTGCAAGAGTCGTTTTGAGGCGTTGCGCTACGCTGTTTAAATAGCAAATGCATTAGCGCTCATTTTTCTGCTCTAAAAAGGAGGTGTTCTGAGGCGGACCGCTGGCGTGTCGCTATTTTAAGAATCTATAATAGATTTTTCATTAGACCAAAACTAACCCGGTCTAAACTCTGCCTCGCTTACACACTGCTTAATACACACAAGAGAGCAATAGGCAAATATCTTTACATATGAAAAAAATTAAATATTAAGGATATATATAGGATATAATAAGAATAGATATAGGATATAAATATAAAGGATTAAAATATTACAAAACATATTATTTTCTAGCCTACATAAATATGAAAAATCCCTGCTTTTATGTCTTCTTCATCTCTGGAGGCTTTTTCAGTTCATTCATAACAATTTGCTTTTGTATAATGTTATTATTATTAGCAGTATTATTTATTATATCCATATTTATATTTGTTTTATTAAAAACAAGCTTAGATTTGTCCACCTGTCAGGTTTTAGACCATATGGGGCACAGCAGGTGTATTAGGATATAACTCAAGTTTTTAAGCACACTTCATTATTTTTGTTCATTTATTCGTTTGCTGGAAATTAGAACTGAATTTAGAAATAGTTTTGAAACGAATATTTGCGCTTAACAAACAAAAGTATTTATTTATAGACTAATTGATGTCTGTGCGTAAAGGTTTCCCTATCCAAGAGCGAAAGTGAAGTAGATCCATTATCTCTCATTGTCACGCAGTAGATGCTCTGTTTAACAGTTTTCTGTGAACTGTTTGCTTGTGAAATGCTAATTTTTCCACTTAGACTTACTTTGCGTCCTGTAAATAGTGAATGCGCTCTTGGCGTGACGCAGCTGGCTCTTAAAGGGAATGGGAGATGAGACTCTGATTGGTTTATTCTCAAAACACACCTATAACTCATTAAGAAAATAAACTCAACTTTAGCCCATGCGTCCTGGCGCAAGGCAGATTTCCCGTCCTTAAATTAGCAAAAACGCGTCCTGTCATGCCCTGAAAGCGTTTGCGTTCTGCGCTTTGCGCTCTGCGCATGCACCATCAAAATAGAGCCCCTAAAGTTTAAAAGATGCACACTCAACTGTTTAACTGTCAGATTATGATTTAAAGAGCCCATATTATGGGTTTTTGAAAATTCCCCTCTCTGTAGTGTGTAACACAGCTCTAAGTGAAGTGAAGTATCCAGCTAAGGCTTAAATCTGTAAGAATACAGTGTTTAAAACTGTTGATTCATCTATAAAAGAGTCGAATCATAGTGCTTCAAACGAGTCGCCTTGATACCGACTCATTAGGTGTTCCGCCATGACGTACGAACGAAACAAAGTTTTTCACGTGCACGCGCAAACCCGGGAGATTTCAAACCTGAGGCCCCGCCCTCTGACGCAGTAACCCAGACACACACACACACACACCCACAAACACACGCACACCCACAAACACACGCACACAAACATGCCGGTCGATTGAAGTCACACTGCAGATGGATATTATATTGAGTCTCTACCCAAAGATGAAACATCAGCATTATAACCAAGCAGTTGGAAACTTCTGGAAGCTACATGCTACAAAGAATACTTCATCTGAGTTTGTTAAAGGAAGGATCAGTAAAGAGTAACTGATGGACGTCAGGATGGGTTTCTTCCTACATTTCTCAAGTGTAAGTACGTGCGGTTAAAGTTGTTGCCTCGTTTACTCTAGCTTGCAAATGTATTTAGTTGTGATTTGTTACTTGTAACCGCGTGTACTGTATCAGGTTAACTGGATATATTATCTTATCGCGTGCAAAGTCACGTTAAAAACGCGACGCGTGCTGTTTGTTTATGGAGCTCCGTGCTAGAGTTCTGCTCCCGCGATTTATTCGGAAATGTATTCCCGCGCCGCAGAAATCTGGCGCGGGGAGAGAGAGAGAGAGAGAGAGAGCGAGAGAGCGAGAGAGAGAGCGAACGAACGAACGAGCTTTGTGTACTTTGTGCTGTGTGTGTGTTTTTATACTGACAGCTTGGCTGTCTGGACTGTATACTGGGTGATATTTGGTTGTGTTCTCCGCTCTAGCGGGACCGGGCGCGGCGGGCAGAAAACGGAGCGGGTTCTCAGGCTAAAACCTGGCGGGTGCGGGCTGAAGCGGGAGCGTTGTCATCCGGAGGTGTGTGTGTGTTTTTGTGTGTGTGTGGTATGGCGAGTACACGACTGTCTCCTTCGTTCGGTTATCCGTGGCACTATCCACTCGCCATAGTGTGGCAGCTAAAGTCCACGCCTACACTATCGAGCGTGTATGAACTGTGATTACTTTTTAAATTGCTGATTAGCTATTGGCCATTTCCCTCTCTGACTGAAGGCAGTCGACCAATCGCGACAGACTGTCATCGGTCCAATCAGCGCAGATTAGCTTCGCGCTAAGGAGGGGTTTGGGAACAAATGAATCACTGGACGATTCATACAGGAGTCGCTGGGATAATTAGGTAAAAATAAATGCAGATTATAAGACCATGAAAGTGTTTTTTGACCTTGCATGCATATTAGACTGTTGTTGGAGACCCTTACAACCAAGATATGACCTTATTTCATGTATAATATGGGCTCTTTAAATCCGGAAGAAAGTAGTTCCTCATACAAAAGGGTTTTTGAGACTCTCTATGTTTGATTTTGTTTTTAAATACACAATTATGCCGTCAAACTGTTGTATAAACGCAATATCACACGAGTAGCAGTGCGATATTGCTGTATATCGGCACTGGTGGGGGCACTAAGGCACTCGGCCTGAAGCCTCGTGGCAATGCACGCCTCCCACCAGTGCTGATATACAGCCATATTGCACTGCTACTCGTGTGATATTGCTCATATATATATATTATTATCATCATTATTGTATGTACAATATGATTATGTTTTCATTGAGGCTTATTAATATATATTTTTTATTATCTTCCTACAAAAACTGCTAAAAAATGCAAATGAAAATGTTTTTTTCTCCGCAGGATCGTGTGCGGCCTCGGTGGGGCTTTTTTTGTGTTTCTGTATGGAAAGATCACACTGTTTGTGAAGGAAAAGAAAGCCTCGAACAGCTTATTAATGAGAAAGTGAGTTTTTCATAAACCGAGTTAATGCTATAAAGCAGCATATCAGGTTTATTTAAAGCAGAAAATAGTCATTGCATTATACATATACATATATATATATATATATTGCAAGTTATAAACATGCTAGCAATGTGCTTAAAGATTACGATCTATAATAGCAAAACAATAAAACACATGACAACATGCTAAACGTGACTGCAGCATGCTAACACATTAGCATTGTGTTAGCTAGATGCCAGCTAGTTAGTAGTACGTTGAATTGTTAGCAGGTTGCTATGAACTTCCTAGCCACGTGTAAAAATATGATAACAGCTTTAACATTGCATCTTTGCAAAGTTAAAACATGTTAGCATATTATTTAAACAAATAGCAGCTTGTCCGAACATAAATATGTTACAGCTGGGTGAAAACATGTTGGTGATGAACTAACTTAATTTTCCAATAATCTAAAATATGTTATTAATAAAATGTTGCTAACATGCTAACAACTTGATTGACATATTTTGACAAAACATTTCAGCATTGTAAAAACATGTTAGCTTGCCAAAACAAAATAGCAGTTTGTCATAGCATAAACCTGCTACGTGTTAAAAATACAAACTTGCTTAAGCATGTTAGCAACTTGTCAAAAACATTTTGGTCATATGTTAAAACATGTTGTAAAATGTGTCAATATCTTAAAAATATGGTCAAATTTGCTAACAAATAAACATGCTAACAGCTTTATTTATTTTGTTAACATTTTGACTAAACATTTTAGGAGTGTTAAAGCATGAAAACATAAGCTTAGCATTCAAAATTAGCTAAACAACACATTGGGCCCTATCATACACCTGGCGCAATGTGGCGCAAGGTGCGACGCAATTGTTGTTTGCTAGTTTCAGCTCGGCGCAAGGGTCATTTTGATGTTTTGCGCTACGCTGTTTAAACAGCAAATGCATTTGCGCTCATATGTGCGCCCATAGGCATTCTGATCTAAAAAAGGAGGTGCATTGCTGGCACGTTGCTGTTTTGAGGAACTAGAATGGACTGCACAATAGACCATATCAAAGCAGGTCTGAAGTTCAGCGCAGAGCTTCCCTAGTAGCAAAGAATTCTGGCCCAGATTTGGCATAAAGCTGGCACAGCAGGCATTCATCCGGCACTGGCATACAGCATGTGGGCCAAACATGGCCCGGGTTTGGCAGAGGTGGCACCGTCTTTAAGGCAGCACACAAGATTTGGGCCAGATGAAAAACGTAGTATTTGGCCCAGATTTAAAAATGTGATAAGTGGGCCATTTGAGTTTGGCCAGTCTTGACCCACATTTAAAATACACTAAAATCGTTTTTGAATAAAGAACAAAAATTCTACCAATCAGGTCACTTTGAGAAAAAGCGTGCCCATAGTGTGCCTAAAGCGCATCACTCCATGGGTTTATCAATTTCATTGCAATCGTGACACACCAACCTATCTGGCCCAGTTCAGGCCCAGTTATGAGTTATTAACATTGCTGAGACTTGGCCCAGATATGGTCCGTGTTTGGCGCTTGTCTGGAAGCCAGATTTGGTCCAGTCATGTACCGTAATTCACTGCGGCATGTGGGCCAAGCAAAACCTGATTGTGTGGGCCAGAGCTGGGCCAGAGAAATTTTGCTATGTGGGTTGTTAGTTGTGAGCCTCGCATACACACTGCTTAATACACACAGGATGAAAAGCAATACACAAATATCTTTACATATGAAAAAGAATTAAAGGATTAAAGTATTACAAAACATTATTATCCAGCCTACATAAATATAAAAACCACCGCCTTCATGCCTGCTTCATCTCGGGAGGCTTTTTCAGTTCATTCATGACTGTTTGCTTTTGTATAATGATATCATTATTAGCAGTATTATTTATTATATCCATATTTATATTTGTTTTATTAAAAACAAGCTTAGATTTGCCCACCTGTCAGGTTTTAGACCATATGGGGCACAGCAGATGTATTTGGATGTAGCTCAGTTTATATATTTCATTATTATTGATCATTTATTCGTTTGCTGGAAATTAGAACTGAATTTAGAAATAGTTTTGAAACAAATCTTTGCGCTTAACAAACTAAATTAATTATTTATATGCTAATGGATGTCTGTGCGCACAACATGTTTCACGAGAGTGAAAGTGAAAGTAAATAATGAGGAGGCTTATCTCTCATTCTCGCGCTGCAGATGCTCTGTTTAACAAGTTTCTCGGTAGTGAAGCGTTCAGCTTTTAAACTTACAAAGTTGTCATGTAAATAGCGAATGCGCTTATGGCGCAGCGCAGCTGACTCTTAAAGGGAATGGGAGATGAGACTCTGATTGGTTTATTCTCAAAACACACCTATAACTCATTAAGAGAATAAGCTCAACCCTGTTAAACTATGTGCCACGGCGCAAAGCGGATTTTTTCCATTCTTAAAGTAGCAAAAGTGGATTCTGACACGCCCTGAATGCGTTTGCGCCCTGCGCTTTGCACCTGGATCGTCAAAATAGAGCTCATTAGTACCTTGCAGAAATATAATGGCAACTATTCAGAACATAAATTTGTATTATTTATTTAAGTTAAGTGCTAAATTCTATGCATTAATATCATACTTTGTTAACAGGAAATTTGGTATTAAACATGCTAACAGTTTGATCGACACATAACAACACATGCTAAAAAGATAGCAGCTAACCACGACACATTTTAGAAACATGCTAAAAAGTAGCCAAGTGCTAGATCATGTTACCAGCTTGGTAAAAAAATGTTAGCATTGTGCTAGCACTGTGCTAAAACTTGATAACAACAATGTTTATGCTAGTAAAAACGTAACAGGTCTGACTGCCCCGTAGCTAGTGATGAAAAAGTGTATGTTTGTGTAGCTAATTGTGTGTGTGCTGTGTGTTTAGCTGTTTCTACTATTCTGCTTTGACGTCTGTGCTGATTTCAACACTCACTTTTCCACCGGGCTTCGGTCAGTTCATGGCTGGAAAGGTAAAAACACACACACACAGGCACACTTTCTCTCTCTCACACACAAAAACACACATACACACAAATATATACACACACAAATACCACATACATCAGACAAAAAATAAAATATCATTTAAATTAATTTTAATAATGCTGTTTCATTTGGTGAACCTACATTTGTGTGTAAAGCTGCCAGGTGGTTCAGGTCAAACCACACGTTATATGCGCAGCGCGACTAGTCGACGACAACCAAAAAGAGTCACGACAGAGCATTAAAGTTGACCAATCCACTACTCTGTGCAAGTCCTAACACACATACACACACACACACACACTCTCTCGCACACACACACAAACAGACACGGAGAAATGCGCACACACACACAGTATACCCAAACCCTATACCGTTAATCTATACCGTTATCGTTAAATAAACGAACACAAACACACACATGCATAAACACAACTAATCAACATACTGTAACATGCACGATCATCAATTAAACATGAAAACCAATGCCTTTGTAAATAAACCGATGAAAACTGTGCTGCTGTCTGACATTTCTGACATCATTTCCTCCTTCCAGCTCACACAACGGTACTCCCTGATCTCATTTTTTGACGATCGCACCTGGTCCAATCACAGCATCGTGAAAGACTTCGACGATAATGACCATTTAGCGGCGTGGAAACATCCGTACGCTAACGTCTTCGTCGTCCTCTTTGTCTTTGTCATCATGAAGGTACAAAAACCACACTTTTGTTCACATAAAAGACATGCTGGAATAGTTGGCGGTTCATTCCGCTGTGGTGACCCCTGATAAATAAGAGACTAAGTCAAAGGAATATTAATGAATGTCAGATTGGTGTGTGTTGTGTTTTACTAATTTTTGCTGTGGTCTGTTGTGTAGTTCTGGATGTCTGCTCTCTCCATTACCCTCCCAATACCATGCGGATCCTTCGTTCCCATTTTCGTCATCGGTATGTGTTTATCTAAAAGAAATTGTATTTATTGGAGTGTTATAAATGCCTGTTCACACTGAGGATGACGGATAAAATCATATTAAGTCATAAAGCACTAAATAAATAAACAGCACAATCAATTATTAGGTCAAAATTTAAATTTGTCAAAATAAAAAATAGCATTGCAGTTGAAAATAGATGTTTTGTATGTGAATTTCTAGTAAATATATTCACATTCAAACAGACGTAACAAAGCAACAAAAGATAAATAGGTATATAATATAATATATGTGTTATTCTAATATTTAAAATAAACACTATATATATATATATATATATATATATATATATATACACAGTTTTGTCTGGTTCTTGAATCTGATTGGCTGATAGCCATGCGATTTTCTGCCAGTAAAAGCACTCGACCAGACTCTTTACCTTTCACCCTTGTGTATTACTCCGCCCACATACAGCAACAAGCAGAGGACACTCTACAGTTTGACCATTATTCCTGCTGTTGGGCAACAAAATGTACTTTCGAGGTTTTTTTAGTCGAGAATGTAGTTGTTTGGATTGCTACTATGCAGTTTATTTATAAGGGTAGTGCCTATTTTAAATATTCATAATTTCTGAGAGACAGCACTTCGGCGGTCATTAGCCTGCCATGCAGAGTAGACCAAAGACTGTTAATGTATCCACAAGATGGCGACAGAACTACATGATAAGACCTAAGAGAAAACCAGCATAATTTTAAACTACAGCTGATCAAATCATTATTAAACGGGTAAATCTCTCTCTTTTGTATGTTGTAGTGCTGTATTTATACCATAGTAATATTGTGATCTCCCGAATGCAGCAGAGAAATACTGGAAAATCTCTGTAGACTGATGGCATTTCATGCTGTTCAGCCTTGTAATCTTAAAGTGTCAGCAAAATCAGCTGTTTTGTCTTCACTTTAGACATTACGCTAGAGAATCACTCAAACACTAGCTCTAAAGTGACATTGGTGAATTAGTAACGGCTTCTGCTGTTCTGACGTCGGCTGCAGATTTGTATGAATGGCGGAAGAAAGTAGTTCCTCTTACAAAAGGGTTTTGAAGACTATCCGTGTTTTATTTATTTAGATACACGATTATGCCTTTGAACTGTTGTATAAATGCAATATCACACTCATAGCAGTGCGATGTGGCTGTATATTGTCACTGGTGGAAGACTAAGGCAGTTGACCTACGCATGCCTCCCACCAGTGCCGATATACAGCCATATCACACTGCTACTCGTGTCAAATTGGGTTTTAAACCTTAAAATTTATAGAACTGATACAGTAAAGACTTTTATAACGTAAGAAATTAGTTTGAAAGACGCTCAAAATATGACAGTAACAATATTCATCAATATTTCTTGATCCTCATGCTAGATTTCTGAAGGATCATGCGACTCTGAAGACTTTACATCACAGATATAAGGGAAGTTTATTTATAAACTAATATAAAGAGGATGACGTGCTTATGGTTGCTTACAGCGGGCCCTGCATTATTCACTTTAGGATTCACCAATCAGACGATTCCTAAGCCAGTATAAATACCCTCAGCTCCATATCACAGTCATCTTCGTTTTGAAGAATCCCCCCTTCCACCTCTACTCCTCCTCCTTTCCTAGATGGGTGGCACGGTGGCCCAGTGGTTAGCACTGTTGCCTCATAGCAAGAACGTCACTGGTTCTAGTCTTTACCAAGCCAGATGACGTTTCTGTGCGATGTTTACACATTCTCCTATTGCTCACGTGGGTTTTCCCCGGGTTCCCCAGTTTCCTCCCACCGTCCAAAAACAGCAACTTAAGTTCCAAATCTGCACCATAGACATGCTCCTAGTCAGTAGTTATCTCTTAAGAGCGATCACTATTTGTTCATTAGCTACTACTTCCCCACATCTACCTGAGCTCAAACTCCCCTCTCGCCTTGCAAACGGGAGGGAGCCCCGGGCTCGAGGATCTTATGAGATCAGGGCTCTCTCCTGGGACAGCATGCCAAACACGCTTTATAATCAATCATGAGTGTTCACAAGTGTGAACTCGAAATGACACTTTACTATACAATCAAATAGAAACTGGCTATTTTTATTTATAATAATATTTCACCGTTTTCAAAGTATTTTTGATCAAATAAACGCAGCTTTAGTAAGCAGAGATTATTTTCAGACCTTCGCTAGCAAATGTTTTCTAGTCTTTTTATTTGATGACCTATTGACGTATTTCTGTGTGCATGCGTGTGTGTGTGTGTGTGTGTGTGTGTGTGTTTCAGGTGCTGGGTTTGGCCGTTTGATTGGTGAAGGAATGGCCACTTTGTTTCCAGAAGGATTCAACACAGATGGACACATATATCCCATAGTTCCTGGAGCTTATGCTGTTGTGGGTGAGCAGCTGCTTTTATCCAAAGTCCAAGACTTACAAATGGGGAGGCATTAAGCGATTCATTGTAAAGAGGAAACACTCACTATATATACTATGCAACTATATGGAATTCTCGCTGAACTCGTTTGATTCTGGGTTCTGTTTTGGTATGGATCAATATAAAGAAAAGAAAAAAAAAACATTTGCAAGCAAAATATAATAAGGTATATGCACTACGGTGGCCGGGAAGTGCAAAACAACATTACAAAGTGTGAAACACTTTTACAAAGCTCGAGACAAATTTACATTTTGAAAAACATTTTTACGTATCATCAGACACAATTACATAGGAAAAACAATTTTACCAAGGACACAACAAAATTTACATTTTTGAAAAAACAAATGAACAAGACGCAAAACACTTTTACAAATCCCGAAACAATTTTACAATTACAGATTCCCTACGGAAAGGGCATGTACCACACACCGGAACACAATATCGAGCTCTGATATATATATATATACACACACAGTTGAAGTCAGAATTATTTGCCCCCTTTGAATTGTTTTCTTCTTTTTTAAATATTTCCCAAATGATGTTAAACAGATTCAGGAAATTTTCACAGACAGAATGTCACGTTTGGCGTGATCAAAAACAATAAACAAAAGGTGCGGATCCAAGTGCAGATTATGTATTTACAGTGCAGCCAACAAGGTGATAATACAAAGTAACAAATAAACGACAAAACCAGAAACTAAATCAGAGACGAGGCTCAGAAAAAACAAACTCAAACAACTAAACTAATTAGAAAACAGACTAGACAAATGACACACGAACTAGACTAATGCAAAAATACAAGAACAGGAATCAGAATAACAAACTGGGACTCTTAGACTTACTCGATTTTCAGACAAGGAAGACAAACGACGCGATAACAAATAGTGGTGAAATGGTTGTATAAATAGTCCAGATAATCAACGGTAACACAAAACAGATGTGATGACAGGTCAGTGTAGGTGTTCCGGTGTGTGCGCGGGGCATGTATGAAAATGTAGTTTTTCCTGGGACACTGTAGCGCCTACAAAGTGCTAGTGCACTACAGCGCCCTCAGGGGGTCACAGACAGATGTGACACAAAGTCTTATTTGTTTTATTTCGGCTAGAATAAAAGCAGTTTTAAATCTTTTAAACACCATTTTAGGGACAAATTATGTGCCTCTTTAAGCTTTATTTTCTTTCGACTGTCTACAGAACAAACCACTGTTATACAATAACTTGCCTAATTACCCTAACCTGCCTAATTACCCTAGTGAAGCCTTTACATGTCACTTTAAGCTGTATAGAAGGGTCTTGAAGAATATCTAGTCTAATATTATTTACTGTCATCATGACAAAGAGAAAGTAAATCAGTTATTAGAGATGAGTTATTAACACTATTATGATTAGAAATGTGCTAAAGAAATCTGCTTTATGTTAAACAGAAATTGGGGAAAAAATAAACAAGCGGTCTAATGATTCAGGGGGGCTAATAATTCTGACTTCAACTGTATAAATATATATATATATTAAGCTTTTAGCTATGATACTCCCAAAATCATTCAGCATAAATCCGCAGATTTTTTACAAGCAGCAAAAACTGTCCGCAGATTCTGTCCGGCCGTACTTTTCAGTAAACTCTGCTCTATCTAAATGCACATGCTGGAGTTTTACTAGAACTAGCTTTACTGACAAAATGCTCATGAGACTGCCCTGCCGCAAATGTAATCCATTAAAAAAATAATGGTAATCTGATTATGCATATTTGTAAACGCAGTTTACACTAATTATAAGTAATCTGATCACATAATACAGATTACATATAATCAGTTTCCACCCTCTTAAGTTCTGACAGATGAGTGTTTTTCTGCTTTCTGGATGTTTGCAGGAGCGGCGGCTCTGACAGCAGGAGTCACACACACCATGTCGACCGCCGTGATCATGATGGAGCTGACGGGTCACCTCAGCTACTCTCTGCCCATCCTGATCTCCGTCATCCTCTCCAACATGGTGTCTCAGAGCCTGCAGCCCTCCATCTACGACACCGTCATCCGCATCAAGAGACTGCCTTACCTGCCACTGCTCAGATGGGGACAGAGGGAGTGAGGATCTGTGTTTACTTTGCGTTTGATTTACATTTCATTGCTCTACCCTAAAGTACTGATAGCCCCTTCCTAAATGACTGATAGCTTCGCCCTAAAGCACCAATAACCCTGCACTAATGCACTTAAAGCTCCGCCCTCAAGCACTGATAGTTCCACCCTAAAGGATTGATAGCTACACCCCAAAGCACTGATAGCTCCTCCCTAAGTGACTGATAGCCCCTCCTTTAATAAATGACAGACCTGCCCTTAAGGATTGATAGCCCTGTCCTAAAGGACTGTTAGCTCCTCCCTAAATTACTGATAGCTCCACCCTAAAGGACTATTAGCTCCTCCCTAAATGACTGATAGCTCCACCCTAAAGGACTATTAGCTCCTCCCTAAATGACTGATAGCTCCACCCTAAAGGACTGTTAGCTCCTCCCTAAATGACTGATAGCTCCACCCTAAAGGACTGTTAGCTCCTCCCTAAATGACTGATAGCTCCACCCTAAAGGACTGATAGCTCCACGCTAAAACACCGATAGTCTCATTCTAAAGCACTGTTAGCTCCGCCGTAAAGAACTGATAACTCCACCCTAAATGACTGATAGCTCCACCCTAAAGCACTGATAGCTCCTACCTAAAAGACTAACAGCTTTGCCCTAAAAGACTAATAGCCCCTCCCTAAATGACTGATAGCCCCTCCATTAATGAATGATAGCCCTGCCCTAAAGGACTGACAGCTAAGCTCCACCCTAAATAACTGACAGCTCCACCCTAAAGCACTGATAACTCTGCCCTAAAGCACTGATAGCTCCTCCCTAAAGCACTGATAGCTCCACCCTAAAACACTAATAGTCTGACCCTAAAGCACTGTTAGCCCCACCCTAAAGCACTGATAGCTCCACCCTAAATGACTGATAGCTCCACCCTAAAAAACTGATAGTCTGACCATAAAGCACTTTTAGCCCCGCCCTAAAGCACTGATAGCTCCTCCCTAAAGCACTGATAGCTCCTCCCTAAATGACTGATAGCCCCTCCCTTAATGAATGATAGCCCTGCCCTAAAGGACTGACAGCTCAGCTCCACCCTAAATAACTGACAGCTCCACCCTAAAGCACTGATAACTCCGCCCTAAAGCACTGATAGCTCCTCCCTAAAGCACTGACAGCTCCACCCTAAAACACTAATAGTCTGACCCTAAAGCACTGTTAGCCCCACCCTAAAGCACTGATAGCTCCACCCTAAATGACTGATAGCTCCACCCTAAAAAACTGATAGTCTGACCATAAAGCACTTTTAGCCCCGTCCTAAAGCACTGATAGCTCCTCCCTAAAGCACTGATAGCTCCTCCCTAAATGACTGACAGCTCCACCCTATAGCTCTAATAACTCCACCCTAAATGACTGATAGCCCCTCCCTTAGCAAATGATAGCCCCACCCTAAATGATTGATAGCCCTGCCCTAAATGACTGTCTGCTCCACCCTATAGCTCTGATAACTCCGCCCTAAAGCACTGATAGCTCCTCCCTAAAGGACTGATAGCTCCACCCTAAAACATTGATAGTCTGACCATTAAGCACTGTTAGCCCCACCCTAAAGCACTGATAGCTCCACCCTAAATGACTGATAGCCCCTCCCTTAGCAAATGATAGCCCCACCCTAAATGATTGATAGCCCTGCCTTAAATGACTGACAGCTCCACCCCAAAGCACTGGTAGCCCTGCCCTATAGGACTGATAGCTACACCCTAAAGCACTGATAGCCCTGCCCTAAAGGACTAATAGCTCCTCCCTAAATGCCTGATAGCTCAACCTTAAAGGACTGATAGCCCCACCCTAAATGACTGACAGCTCCACCCTTAAGAACTTATAGCCCCACAATAAGTTACTGACAGCTCCGCCCTAAAGGACTGATAGTTCCACCCTAAATGACTGACAGCTCCACCCTAAAGGACTGATAGCCCTGCCCTAAAGCACTTATAGCCCCACAATAAGTGACTGACAGCTTCGCCCTAAAGGACTGATAGTTACACCCTAAATGACAGATAGCTCCGCCCTAAAGGACTGATAGCCCCACCTTAAATGACTGACAGCTGCACCCTAAAGGACTGATAGCCCTTCCCTAAAGCACTTATAGCCCCACAATAAGTGACTGACAGCTCCGCCCTAAAGGACTGATAGCCCCACCCTAAATGACTGACAGCTCCACCCTAAAGGACTGATAGCCCCACCCTAAATGACTGACAGCTCCACCCTAAAGGACTGATAGCCCTTCCCTAAAGCACTTATAGCCCCACAATAAGTGACTGACAGCTCCGCCCTAAAGGACTGATAGTTACACCCTAAATGACAGATAGCTCCGCCCTAAAGGTATTCCATGTGACCAGAAGTGAAGAAGTCATTTCGAGTGGGAGGGAGGGTTATGATATTTGATTAAACATTATGAGGACAACAGATACATCATTTTTAACCAGCACTACTTCATAAACAATAAGAAGAGCACATTTTAATTTCATGGTCGACCTGAAGTGTTTTAACTAGTCTGAAGTGTCAAAAGTGGATCACAGTTTCCACAGTAATGCAGGTTGAATCATATTTCTCACGCTTTGGTTTGTTTATTTCCGTCTGTAGGAACAGTAAGATCCACGTGGAGGACTTCATGAATAGGGATGTTCGCTTCATCACATTAAACTCCACATACAGAGACGTGTTCAAGATCCTGTGCTCAGGGAATCTGAAGACGGTGCCCATGGTGAAATCCACAGGTACAGAAGCACACCTTAGATTGTGAATATTAATGCAGTGTGTGTCTGATCAGTGTGTGTTTTTGACTGTGTTTCTCAGAGTCGATGCTGCTTTTGGGCTCTATTGAGCGAGCTCAGTTGTTGGCGCTCCTGATAGAGCGAACGCAATACCTGCGGGGCGGAGCCTACAGCATACCTGCCCGCAGCAAAGTTCACTTCCAGGTCACGACACTAATTCATTTAAAATAAAATAAAAAATAATTGTTTAATTCAAATTTGTTTGTTTGTTTATTTTTTTAGTTTTATTTATTTTAATTTCATCATTATTTTGTTGCATTTTATTGATTCTTATTTTATTTTAATTTGTTAATTTATTTTATTTTATAACTTTTTATTTTTATATTTATTTTATCTCATTAATTTGTGTTTTACTTTAATTTATTTTAATTTTATCTTTATTTTATTTAAATTAAATTGTATTTTATTTATTTATTAAATTTGTATTTAATTAGTAATTTACTTGGTTTTGGTCATTATTTAGTATTTTTTAATTGTTGTTTTATACTTCATTTATTTTTTTGTTAATTTATTTTATTTTGATCATTATTATTATTATTTCATTTTATTTAAATTAATTCCTATTTTATTCATTGTAATTCCATTTTTTTATTTTAGTTTGATCATTTATTTAATTGTTTTTAAATGTTATTTTATTTTAATAGTTTTAATTGGTTAATGTCTTCTATTTAACTTTAATTTAATTATTATTTAGTTTAATTTATTCATTTATTTTTTGTATTTATTTTTTATTTTATTTCATTATATATATCACATATATATGTGTGTGTGTGTGTGTGTGTGTGTGTGTGTATAAATAATTGTAATCAATTTTAATATGATAATTATTTTATTTAAATTAATTCATATTTCAATTTTATAAATTTGTATTTAATTAGTAATTTTGGTCATTATTTTGTTTAATTTTATTAATTATTCTTTTATTTTTAATATTTTTTAATTAGTTGATTTATTTTATTTTGATCATTATTTTGTTTAATTTTCTTAATTGTTATTTTATTTTATATATTTTAATTGGTTAATGACTTATTTTATTTTATTTTTTTACTGAATCATTCTTTAGTTCAGTTTTGTAAAAATGTCATTTTATTTAATGTATTTTATTTTATTCATTCTTTATTTTATTGCATTGTATTATTAATGTAATTAATTACAATTGATGTAATACAATGAATAAATAATATTTATTACTTATTCATATTTTAGTTGTCGTTTTTATTTTTTACAAGCAAAAGCAAAACATCAATATCATCATCCAGCATTTCATCCTTTTAACACCGATTTATTTTTCACAAATACGTAATTTTGAGTTTGTGTGTGTGTGTGTTGTAGACGGCCACAGAAGACTCTTCATCTGCTTCTGCTCAAGTTTCTCCTTCTACACCTCTAAAATCTGCTCTGAAGAGACCGACTGCAGACGAGGAACAGTTAAACAACAGTAATAAATGAACTCACACTCACTCCTAACTTAGATTTTAAAGCATGAAAACTATTTGACATTTTTACAAAATAAAAGTATCATGCGTGTGTTAATAAAATCATTAAAAAAAATGACATTAATATTTAATGAACTGTTAAGTTCTTCTTATTAAATATTGCAATATAAGTATAATACGTTCTTTAGAATATGATCTGCATTCCTTAATTTATTACAATATTTATAATATAGTTTAAGTAATATTATAACATTCATAATTGATTTTGCATTGATTCATCTGTTTTTATCATTTAGTGCACTTGATCAGATATTTTACTACATGAAGTATGCACTTTACACGTCAACCGCTAAGTGTACACTTAAAGACTAGAGAAAAGATTAAGTGTAAATCTTGTAATTTGACACACTCTCTCTCTCGCGTGTGTGTGCGTGTGTGTGTGTGTGTGTGTGTGTTTTATTTCTCTCAGATGTTTATGATTCTGGCCTGAGCTTTAAGACATTCTTCTGTTCTCGGCCGGACACCGACGCAATGAAGGTGAACACACACACACACACAAACACACACACACACACACACACACACACACACACACAATTCCCTTACTGTGTAAAGTTTGGTGGTGTATTTAAGCCAACTGGTATAAAAACTTCACCAATACATGCAGTGGACAACAGTCAGCTGCTAAATCCTGATGTCATCCTGTTACACTAGACAGAGAACGTTGCCCAGGATCTATGCCCAGTGCACATGTTAGCAGTTGCAAGGCTGCAAAAGGCCCATTTCGTCCATGGGTGAGCTTAAACCACCAACATTTCCATTAACAGCCGAACGCTTAACCTATTACACCACAGAGACTTTGAGCAAGCCTTCCTACAGTGGTAGACACACTGGAATTTGTCTCAACAGGTCTGCTGGGTGAACACAAATGAACAGGCAACTGAAAACTGCTGGGAAGAGAGAGAGAAAGGCAATAGAAACACTTAATATGGGGCTCGAACCCACGACCCTGAGATTAAGAGTCTCATGCTCTGAGCTATCCAGGCTTGTGGTGAGGCTCTCTCGGGAGCTAGTGACTGTTTTCATCAGTACCTTCCTTACCTGTGTAAATAGCAGTGGGGTATATGCTGAAGCATGCTAATAGGACTTTTAATTTGCCAGTAACCTGGGTTCAACGCTTCCGGCGGATTGAATGCCAATGCAAAATCCGGTGCGTTTAAGGTCTGTTTTCTTTAAAAATCAGCGATCTTCACTAGCTGAGTGATATCCGATTTAAAGTGGGTCTCAGATTGTACAAGAAGCAATTACATTTCCCTGCCATGTCTTTATAATATGAGTATTTATTTTACCCCAGTATATTCAAAGGAGCTTCTGTGTTACCCTGCCGATTCTGACGGGGGCGTGCGAGCTAACGGCTTTATGTCTCGTTTTACGCTTGAGCAACTAAATAAATGCTAAAGTTTATTGAACTGAATGTATTTTAATGACATTACAACATCCATGCTGTATAAGGAACTGTATAAAATGGAAAAAAGTTCACAATAACAGGTCACCGGAAGTGTATCAGCATGGGAACAGCACTAGCTCGGCATATACCCTGTTGCAAGGCAGCAAAAGGCTTAGTTTGTCCCTGGGTGGGCTCAAACCACCAACCATTCGGAATAACAGCCAAACACATTAACTGATTGCTCCACAGAGACGATGAGCATGGCTGTCTACAGTGGTAGAAACACTGGAGTTTGTCTTAAAAGGTCTGCTTGAAGCACACTTACAAACATATTCACAGAGACTCACCGTGTGTGTGTGTGTGTGTGTCTCTCTCTGTCTGTAGAATGACCCAGATGCACATGATGATATGATACTTCAAGAGGTGAGGACATTTTAAGACACAATCTCACACACACACACAATCACACACACACACACACATACACACACACCACACACACACACTCAGTAGCCCCTTTCACACAGTGATACCGGTAAATTTCTGGAAAATTTCCGGAACGACTTTACCGGTATATTGAAAAAAGCGCTGTTCACACAGGCGAGGACGTTACGGAAATTTTCCGGAAAAGAGCATTCACACATCCATTCCAAAATACGGGTAAATTCTGACATCATTCACCACAAATGAGCTTTAAACGGCTGCGCTTGTGTTTGTAAACATTTGACTAAATTACAAACTCTGTGGATGATCAATATTGTGAACAACTTTCGCAGGATCACTTTCGCATGTCGAGATGTTCATAATATGTGCGTGTGCAGGCGCTCATAGGCGCACGCAAAGCTTGAAGGTAAACAAACTACGGCTTATCATAAGCATCTCATCGATGATTATTTACACAGTTGGCATTAAGAAGAACATATAAACGTGATCTGACTAACTTCTAGCAGCTAAATGTGTCTGGAAAAATATTCAAAGGCTTTTATCCTCACAAACCGCGCTGACGTAAATGCGTCTGACTGTTGTGATTGGCTAAAGCAGACGTCTCACGTCAGCACGTTCTAGAGGTGCACGCGCTTATTACGGTAATCTTCCTAATCTTCCTTCTGCATTCGCGCAGCATTCCGGCAAATTGCCGGTAATGTTACAACTTCTCTTTCCGGAAAATAGCCAGAACGAATTTACCGGTATTTTCAAAAAAGACCTGTTCACACATACAAGCTTTCCGGAAAATTGCCGGCAATTTTGCGTTAAAGGTCTGTATGTGTGAAAGGGGGTAGAATCTCTATGTATCTCAGGCCCCGTTTACACTAGTGCGTTTTAGTTTTAAAACGGCGTTTTAGATCAAAAACGATCCGCGTCCACACTAGCGTTTCTGAACATATCTCCGTCCACACTACGCCACAAAACCGTATATCACGTGACCATTCGCGCACTCTGGGCATGCACGTTCCAGTATAAACAGGAAGCATGTGTCTTGCTTGGCATTTGGTTATTTTTAGTCAACAAACGCCGGTTGAACAATGAACGTGATGGCAAAGAAAGCAAGAGAGGTATTTTGTGGACAGACGACGAGGTCGAGTTGTTACTAAACGTAACGAATAACTGCACAATGGCGCCTAAAACAGACACTAGTGCAAACAACGCTCCCATTTCTGTGCCCATGTTGTTGTTTACAGTGAAGGCTGGTCTGCTGTCTTCCGCTAGCGTTAAAGCCATGTGTTTTAGTCATGTGATAGGGGCTTGAGAATAAGGGAAGGATACGCAATGATACAAAAGCCTCAATCAGGTAGCGAATCTCAGCAGCCCCGCCTCCGTTTCCAGATGTCTCCCTTTCCCCCATCCACACTGAGATGGAGCAGCAGCATTTCAGAATGAAAACAGCCTCTCCAGCGTTTCCAAAATGCTCCGTTTTCAGTGTTCGTAAACTCCGGTGTAGTGTGGACGGATGGTGTAACCTTAGCCAAACATATGCGTTTTAAAACGAAAACACATTAGTGTAAACGGGGTCTCAGTATCTCTATGTGTTTATGCAGATTGAGAAATGGGAGGAGCAACAGCTTGATGAGCAGGTAAACTTCAACAGCTGCCAGATTGACCCCGCCCCCTTCCAGCTGGTGGATCGAACAACACTGCACAAGGTGTGTGTGTGTTTCAGTGATTATGAGAGAGTGACAGTGTGTGTGTGTGTGTGTGTGTGTGTGTGTGTGTGTGTGTGTGTGTGTGTAGTTTGCTGGATGAATGATGTGCTGTGTTCTTCTCTCTCTGACAGACTCACAGCATGTTCTCTGTGTTGAATCTGGATTACGCTTTCGTCACCAGTGTGGGTCGACTAGTGGGAGTCGTATCACTGAACGAGGTGAGAGTTTACGAGAGGGGTCTGGATGCAGACCTGGTGCAGATGCAATCTGAGCTGCATCCAATGCTTTTTAATGTGCTCACCTAACCCCACCCCTCACAGTGACGTCACTCACTCCATTGAGTGCATTGTGTCTGACATTGCATTTCACTGTGATGAGACTGTGATGCAGTCTCAGCTTGCATCATAAAGGCTGCCTCCAAGTACTATTGGAGTTTAGACTTGATCATGTGTCTATGATGTGCTGTTATTTTCAGATTAACACACAGCTAGTAGTTCTGGTGTTTTTTTGACGGTCCCCTTAACACATTTTGTAGGTACACTCAAGTACACTGAAAAAAATTATTCAGAGATGACTCCTTGGATTTACTCAATTTTTTTATGTTAAGTGGTTGTAAACAATTTATTTGTGTTGAATTTAAACAAACAAATTAAGTTAAACATTAATAAACTTAATATGTTTGTTTAAATTCAACACAAATAAATTGTTTGCAACAGTTCTGCATGCAACACTTTTTTCAGTGATAGGGCCAGACAGAATCTGCAGACCTTTTTTGTTATTTGTAAAAAATCTGCAGATTTACGTGAAAGATTTTGTGAGTATCGTGACTAGAAACTCAAAAGATGAAATAAAATCGAATATGTTTTTAACTTTTATGTAATGCTTACAATGCAAACCCTATTAGATCCACTTATTTGGTAAATAAATCAAGTCTCCTATATAATAATATCCAGTGGCGCAAAAAGGTGGTATGCAGTATATGCAGCGCAAAGTGGCGCCACACATGGAGGGTGGGGTGGGGGGGGCGCTATTGTGCCAAAACTTTTTTTAAATGATACATATTAATAGGGCTGCTCAATATCGGCGGCCATATCGTTATCGGCCGATAAATGCTATTTTTAAGATTATCGTTATCGATCCAATGTCATAATTAGGCCGATATCTTTAAGTTAATAAATTACGTAATTGTACAGAACTGCCTGCCTCGTGCATGCATGGGTGGAACTTGTCCAGACCACTGTTGCCAACTATTTTCAATGAAAAGGCGATAAGCTCTGCCTGAAAAGTCGCTAGATTGCGTCATACGTTAATTTGCATATTGCGGGCGTCATCACGTTCTACCATTTCTGTTTGTTTAACAGCCTATGGTTAATAAAGAGTATTTATATTTGCACTACGCTTTGTTGCGGCATCACCCGCAACTCGTTGAGGAGAGTAGGGAATGTGCATTATGAACACATGAGAGTCCAGTAATGAATCTCCAGTAACACAAAAAAGTCGCTAGATTTGTCGCTAGTTGCTTTTTTGAAAATTTGTCAATAGGGGGGTCTTAAAAGTCGCTAAATCTAGCGACAAAATCGCCAAGTTGGCAACACTGGTCTAGACTTGTCCAGTGCACTATAATGGAGCTCTCCTCACATGGTTTATTCCTTCAAAGTCCGTCCTTTCTTCATGTGGTATTGCTGAGCGTTAATAACTCAGTAAGTAACCATGTTCCTCGAATAATCGAATAATTTAGATTGAGTGTCATTGTGTATTTTGCCTTAAATCGCCTCAGGAAAAAATATTACATGTGTAAAACATAACAGCAGCGATGCACACGTGCTAAACAACTCGTTAGGTTGTTTGTAATCAAATTTGATTATTTGTTATTATCAGCGCGTTGCTTGCCATCTGTTGTTGATGTAAGATTGTATCAGGGGCGTAGGTTTAGGGTGGACGGAGGTGAGCGGAGGTGAGCTGAGCGTTAATAACTCAGTAAGTAACCATGTTCCTCGAATAATCGAATAATTTCGATTAAATGTCATTGTGTATTTTGCTTTAAATCGCCTCAGGAAAAAATATTACATGTGTAAAACATAACAGCAGTGATGCACACGTGCTAAACAACTCGTTAGGTTGTTTGTAATCAAATTTGATTATTTATTATTATCAGCGCTTTGCTTGCCATCTGTTGTTGATGTAAGATTGTATCAGGGGCGTAGATTTAGGGTGGACGGAGGTGACGCGTCCCCACCAATATCCCCCGGCCATAGAAATGTCCCCACCAATAATTTAATCCACTTTTTAAAAAATCGCGCTGTCAACATTAACCTAGACACGCAGGTTAAATCACGTTCTCTTCTTGAGTCCTCCCGCCCCCAAAACACATATGGACATTTTGATTGGCTGTGCCTTTCCTGCCTTTTATGTGAGAGGCTGTGGCTGCCTTCAGATACAAGCAGCGCCAAATGCAATGGATTGTTTTTTTTCCCGTGCAAGAATAAGGTATGTTGGGTGACACACGAGTGAGGATGGTGGCAGCAAATAAAGAAAGAGAGAGGTGGACATAAGGAGCTTTTTTCAATGAAAGTGTGTCACATAATGCAAGTTCGCTACAGAATGAGTCCATCATGATTATGGGGTTAATGCTTGTGTTTTCTCCCGCTTTGATGCACAGTCATGTTGTTATAGCAGGCTGATATTCTAGTCTGTGAATAATATGCCCTGAAAACTAACTGCAGAATAAACAGCTAAAGTATACGATCCCGCCAGTTCTCCTAATCTCTCAGAGTCCAATTTCAGTTGAAACAATTTATCAGAAAAAATACAGCCTGTGTATAGGCACTATACTGATATATGAGACGTTTCATTTGCAATATGGCTAACATAAGTCTTTATTAAACTCTCTCCTTATCAGTTAAACATTTTTTTTAACATTACACTATCAGGCGTGTTTTTTTTAAACAACTGAACCTTGTTGCAGTTTTTTGCCTTCTTTTTAATTATGCATAATATTGCATTTTAGTGACATTTTAAGAACTAATGTAGAGATCTGCGCGGGACTAAATTTTGAATCCCGCTCCCGCCCGCACCCGCCAGGTTTTAGCCCGAACCCGACCGCTCCCGCTTGTATCAAGAATTTATTGTCCCGCTGCCCGACCCGCCCCTCTTTCTGCCCGCCGCGCCCGATCCGAGATATTTCCAGCTGCAGGCCCGCAGAACCACACACGTTTGAGGCACGCACAATCTAGGACACACAATCTAGGCAAACCATAAATGGTAACTAACTCTTTAGCATTATCGCCACCTATTGAATTTCACAAATATGGTTTCCCATTTCAGTCAATTTTATTATTATATCGTAACGATCATTTTAAAGTCTCTGCAGTTTCTGAATTTAAATTATGTCAATAAAAATAATTGGTTAAAGACACTTATGACTTTATTCATGTGTCCATATATACAAAGAAAACATAACAGACCGTCTAATTGTTGGATTAAGTGTAATAAACTAATTCAAGATCTAAATATTATCATACTTCGTTAAAATCACGTTGTTGTAAAATATAAAAAAGCAAACAATAATGTCACTTTAAAATAAATTAGCCTACTATAGTTAACCATTTAAACAATATAGTTATAAACTGATTATCTTAACTGATTATAATTATAAGTTTATATATAAACTACTATCTTTTACTAAACTGTCACTGTTAAAGCTGTTATATATATATATATGTATGTATGTATGTGTGTGTGTGTGTGTGTGTGTGTGTGTGTGTGTATACACTTATGATTTTTTTTATTAATAGTTAATATGTTATTAATAGTTTTATTAAGAGTATTAAATGTGGGAAATCATTAATTAAAAGGTTATTAGAAAATTAAGCTAATAAACACCGCTTGAGTAAAATATTAATATAGTGTTATACATTTGTTACATGTAAAAATATTTTTATTACATATAATGTATTATTGCCTATCTTAACTTGCTATTATTTCCTTCATCATAAATTAATCCATTATATAAATTAAACCTGTCCAAATGAGATCATTCAGCAAGGCCAGCAAACGTGTATCTGCCAAATTATTGTCAGGTAATAAAGATTGATCAGCTATAATGACTGATTAAAAACTGTTCACTCTATTATATTGAATGGCGATCGGAAACAATGCTCCCCATTCGGCCGTCTCAATCGCAATATTTGTGAAATAAAGTAAAGTAAACACTATTGTTTATTGTGTACAATATTTATTAATCAAATACATCAAAATATATCGATGACGATGTCCAAAAAGACGTTATAACTTTAACATCCGTCATAACCATATATGGTTTGCCTAGATTGTGTGTCCTAGATTGTGTGTGCCTAAAACGTGTGTGGTTCTGCGGGTCTGCAGCTGGATATTATTGCCCGATCCCGCTAAAGAGCGGGGGAGAACAAAACCGAAAATCCCCCGGCTATACAGTCCAAACAGCCAAGCTGTCTGTATAAACACACTCACACAGCACCAAGCACACACACACACACACAGACAAATCTCTCTCTCTCATACACACACACGAGCACCAAGCAGACACACAGGCGTTTGCTGTTATATCAACTCAAAGGCTTGTAATACCATGTATCAAGTACCAATGTAACACCAAAAGGTTTTATATAAAGGTTTATAAATACTGAGTCGCGCCAGCTCCGGGCCGCAGCGCACATTACTCTCGGGCCGATTCCGGCGCGGATGCGGCAGCGTCGGCTCGCTTACGGCCGCCGCATCTGGCCGGAATCGGGCAGTGAGTCCACAAGCATCCGGAGTCCGGCAGCCGGAGCCGGGCTGAGTGGTAAGTCTCTGGCAGGCGAGAATCTAGCCGGAACTGGCCCGAGTGTATTTTGCTATCTGGGAAAGCTCTCTCTCTCTCTCTCTCATTCGCATAGCAATATCCGCGATATTGCTAGACAGCCCGCTCCCGTCCCAAATTAAACCCGTTACCGACCGCTCCCGCGATTTATTCTGAAATTTATGCAGACCTCTAAACTAATGTTTGCTGGGTTATCTTGTCGGATGGTTATCATAACCACACTTTTTGATGTACCAAAAAATATTTTCAACCTTTCTGTCAAATTGCTTACCACACTATTTTACTATTTTAAGTGTTTATTCACAATTATGCATTCAAACTAAGTTATTTTTAGTTATATAAATGACATTTTTGGAAACAAAATATGAAAAGATACTTGTTTCAAAATACAAATTTTATCTATTTATAAATCTATTCTATCTATCATTACATTAAAAAAATAAATAAATCTGTAGAAACAAGTTTAAATTAAACACTGAAGTGAAAATGAAAACTAGCCAGAACATTCAACTTTCCTTGGTCAGAATTTGGCCATTTTAATAATATGAAAAAGTTTAAAATAATAATAATAATTCAACTTATGATCTTTTTAACCACCCAAACCCCCTTGGCTACAGGCTGAAAACTTAATAAACTGTATGAAGAGAGGATTATTAATATATTTTAATAGCAGTTAAATAAATAATAGCTTATATGTGTTGTTTGATTCACCCATCCCCACCAATGTCAAGTGCAAACCTACGCCCTTGGATTGTATTCAGTTTGGTCGGAATATTCATATTGATTATAACGAAAACCCATTTTGTTATTCCCCCCCATCCATTTTTTTTCCAATACCTAGTGGAAGCCTTTCATAGATCAGATCAAGGATTATGTAATGACTCCCAAATTTTTGTGTAAATGCCATGTATGAAAGTTAATCATGGGATAGTGGGTTCCACAGTTGTTTAATGCTGTCTTCCTCTGGACATGACACAGATCTGATGCTTTGTAATAAATGATTAATAAATCTAAAAAAAAAAAAAAAATAATAATAATAGTTATAACAAGCGCGCGTGAGGGCTGCCTGTCACACACACACATCTGATCTGACACACCTTCACAGCAGCATAGGGGAGAGCGCCGCCAGTCACTGAACCCAGCACAGGGGCTCTCAACTCGCCGCACATTTTGGGCCATATCATACACCCGGCGCAATGCGGCGCAATGCAATTGTTATTTCCTAGTTTCAGCTCGCCGCAAGAGTCGTTTTGACGTTTTGAGTGTGTTGAGGTGTATTGCTATTTTGAGGAACTTAAATAGACTGTTCAATAGATCAGATCAAAGCTGGGTCCCACTTTATATTAAGTGTCCCTAACTACTATGTACTTACATAAAAAATAAATACAATGTACTTACTGTGTTTATAATGTATTTGAGAACACTTGCGGTGCTTTTGAGTTGGGATAGAGGTTGGGTTATGGACAGGTTTGCTGGTATGGGTAGGTTTTAGGGTGGGTTAAGGTGTTAGGGATGTTCAACAGTGTATTTACAAAAGTTAGTTACAGATGTAATTACAGACGTATTTAATCAAGCGTAAGTACACAGTAAACACATGTATTTACACAATAAGTACATTGTAACAAACTATTAGTTCCTATGTAAGTACATATTAGTTAAGGCCACTTAATATAAAGTGGGACCTAAAGCTGGTCTATTGTCCAGCGCAGAGCGCGTTAGTTGTGCGCCTCGCTTGCACAACTGCTTAATACACACAGGATGAACAGCAATACGCAAATATCTTTTTTTTGTGATTAAGTTTTTTATTGATTTTCATTTTACATGTGAGTGGTTGTAGCATCTTTACAATTTTCTTTCAAAAAACAAGATCCCAGTTCAGTTTTTACACTTACAAAGTCGTCATGTAAATATCAAATGCACTATGGCACGACGCAACTGACTCTCAAAGGGAATGGGAGATGAGACTCTGATTTATTCTCAAAACACACCTATAACTCATTAAGAGAATAAGCTCAACCCTGTTATACCATGTGCCACGGCGCAAAGCGGATTTTTACGTCCTTAAAATAGCAAAAGTGGATTCTGACATGCCCTTAATGCGTTTGCGCCCTGCACTTTGGACTTAGACGGTTAAAATAGAGTCCATAGACTCAATGAGCTTAAAATCTGCAGAAATCTGTGTGTGTAGACACGGTGTGTACCTAATATTAGTTACATCTTAACACGACAGCTTATTCTCATTGAAAAATTAGCAGACTGCAAGATTAGGGATAGTGTAAATTGACATTTAAGACATTGACATTTGTGTATCTCTCTCTCTCTCTCTGTGTGTTGTGTGTGTGTGTGTAGTTGTGTAAGGCCATCACAGGCTGCATGCCACCAGACGGTGTGTCTCTTTCTCCGATTCTGTCCGGTTTCAGAGAGCGAGGCTCTGCAGGATGGAGACCTGAGGTGTGTGAGCTGCACAAACTGCTGGACCACCAGGACTGCTGAAACACACACACACACACACCTCCGCGACCAATGTGTGTTATTTATGATTAACTGTGTGTAAAAATAATGTCTGTGAAGATGTGTTTGTTTCTGTAATGGACACACACAGACACACACACACACCACCTCAACCAATGTGTGTGTGTGCTATTCATTCTTAGCTGTGTGTTAAAATTAAAAATGTGTTTGCCTCTATAATGAACTAAAATATTTAAGACTCGACGTGTGCTCTGATATTCAGATTTTTTGTTTTGAGTATTAATGTGTGTGTGTGTGTGTGTGTGTGTGTGTGGGTTTGTGTGGTTGGTGTGGGTGGGTGGATGGCTGTGGCTGGAAGGGCACCCTGTGTAAAACATATACTGGAATAGTTGGCGGTTCATTCTGTGGCGACCCCTGCTGAATAAAGGGACTGAGCCGAGGGACAATGGTTGAATGACTTGTAAATGGTTTGAAGCAGAGAGAAACTAACAAATCAACATGTGTACATAAAGAAAAGTGAAAATCAGATTTTTGCGTTGGCCGGGAATCGAACCCGGGTCAACTGCTTGGAAGGCAGCTATGCTCACCACTATACCACCAACGCATGGTTTTACATGGAACCATCGCTGTAAAAGAACTGCACCCAATATCCAAAACAGCGTTAAACTTCTTTTTCTGTCTGTCAATAATTCTGTGTAGTTGTGTTGCTATAATAACAGCTACTTACACGTATTACAAATGTGTTTTGCAGTAGGTTAAACGTAATTTCACAAATTTCCTCTAATATCATTTAATTAGCATTAGCATGTTAGCTGTTGCCTTCAAACACACATAACGTTAGTTTCAAACAGCGCCTCTGCTCGATCTGCTGAATTACTCACTTTACTCTCTGAAACACGAACACCAGACTACTGTGTTTTTTCTGTGTTAAAATTTTAATTCTTTTCGCGTTTACCTGCTGGCAAACAAACGAGTGCCATTTGATCAGAGGATCGGTGTGTGTATGTTGATGTTTGAAGCTAGCTAACACGCTAGGTTCAGAAATGGATTTATTTGACGATCTTCCAGAACCTACAAACGAGCCAGGTGGGTTTTTTTTCACACTAATTATATAGCAATAAGCATCATGCACATGTTATATATGTTAAAGCAGTAATTTGGACAGATAAAAGTAAACATTAGGACAGTTCAGTATTGATGCTGTGCATGCGCCTGAGTTAGCATTACTATTGTTATTATTACCCACACACATTTCTACATAATTTGCCTGCTTTAATTACTAAAATGTTAGATTATTGTGCTTTATATATATATATATATATATATATATATATATAATTTCTCTATCATTTTGAGAATATTGCAGGATACAATGCTAACTTATATACCGAGAGTAGGTTACCAGAGCAATGAAATTTTCACAGTATTTCCTATAATATTTTTTCCTCTTGGAAAGAAGTCTCATTTCTTTTAATTTGGCTGGGATAAAGCAGTGTTTAACTCGATATTATTAGCTAACTTATCTTAAATAATTGTTTTACATTGTCAACTGAACAAACTAATGTTTTCCAATAACTTGCCTAATTAAGCCTTTAAATTACACAATAAACTGAATGCTAGTATTTTCCAGAATGTTATGTGCTGTCATGATGGAAATAGACTAAATAAATAAGTTATTAGAAATTAGATGTCGAAACTATTATGTTTAGAAATCTCTTTGATAAACAGCACTTGGATTATATTTTAAAAGTCATTATAATTTAACAGGATGGCGAATAATTTAGTGTATATAATCAACTGTATATGTTAGTTTATTTTCAAGTGAATCTCAATATTGTTAAGCAGCTCTCAAGATTATAAAGTGTCCCATATGCACAAATGAAGATGCTTTAAAGAGCTCCTATTATGGGTTTTGAAAATGACTGTCGATTTAGTGTGTAATGCAGTTCTAATTGAATGAAAACACCAAGTGATGGATGAATCTTACAGTGCTCAACGTTTATGAGTTCACCTCTCACAAATCTCTCATTTAAATGAATCTTTTCTATCGGAAGCTTTACAATAATGTATTTGTGCATATACATTACATACTGAAGCTAAATCTAGAGCTTTTCTAACCAAATAACTCGCAATAATGGTCAAAATTAGTACACCCAAATTTATAGGTTAGGGAAATGTATTAAATAAAACATTTTAAAAAGAGAATTTTTTTTTGTAATTTAGTTTGTAATTTTTTTCACCCAATATTTATAAATAATGAATTTAAATGTATTATCTTTCCATTTCTAAAGATGTTCAATGACAAAAATGTTATTATATGCATTTAATAAATCTGTTTTGTTCAAATGCACCAACATATATGACCTATATTCACTGAGAAATGGATCAAAATATTCTCATTTATATACTCATTTAGGTAGCATGGTGGCTCAGTGGTTAGCACTGTGGCCTCACAACATGAAGGTCGCTGGTTTGAGTCCCCAGAAACAGATTTATTAAACAGATATATTTATTAGAATGATATTTTAGTCACCACATGTATTTAGAAATTGAAAGATAAAGCAATTAAATTCAAACTGAATATTGCAAAAATAAATTGCAAACTACAAAATTTTTGTCATTTTTTTGTTTCTCTTGATTTTTCCTCTTTTTTTAATTTGTATTTAATATTTTTCTAAATCATATTAATTTGGCTGTACTAGTTTTGGACCATTATCGTAAGTTATTTTATTAGATAAGCTCCAGATTTGGCTCCAGTACTGACTAATCTAATGTATATGCACACATATAATATTGTAGAGCAGTGGTCACCAAACTTGTTCCTGGAGGGGCGGTGTCCAGCAGATTTTAGCTCCAACCCTAATCAAACACACCTGAACAAGCTAATCAAGGTCTAACTAGGTATACCTGAAACAATCAGGCAGGTGTGTTGAGGCAAGTTGGAGCTAAACCCTGCAGGGACACCGGCCCTCCAGGACCGAGATTGGTGACCCCTCTTGTAGAGCTTCCTATTAAACATATGAATTTAAAAGAGAGATTTCAGAGGGGTGTCCTCATATACGCAGAGCACTGTATATGTGTCCCTTCAGTTTGAGGCTTTAATTGTGAATGTTTTAATAGTGACGTTTCTTCTTGAGCAGCTCCAGTGAAACTCCAGCAGGAGGAGCGAGGAGAGAAGAGGAAGAGAAGCATCAGCTCAGAGCAGACAGAGGTGCAGGATGACAAACAAGAGGAAAAGAAAGTTTGTAAAGGTTTTCAGCTTTCCACACACATTGTGTCCACTGAGAGAGAGAGAGAGAGAGAGAGAGAGAGAGAGAGAGAGAGAGAGAGTGTGTGTGTGTTTGGTCTGTGTATGTACAGCTGAAGTCAGAATTAGTCACCCTCCTGTGACTTTTTCAAATATTTCCCAAATGACGTTTAACAGATTCATGAAATTTTCACAGTATTTCCTATAATATTTGTTCTCCTGGAGAAAATTAATTGGTTTTATTTTGGCTAGAATAAAAGCAGTTTTTAATTGTTTTAAAGGCATTTTAGCTCAATATTATTCGCCCCCTTAAGCAATATTCAGGGCTCAAAATTAACTTTCTCATGCTGCGTTCACACCTGACGCGGCACGCGTCAAGCGCGAGTGATTTACATGTTAAGTCAATGCAAACGCATGAATAGACATCCTGCAGCGCGATACGTGCGAATGGCGCGGAGCGAATGACGCTAATTGCGCGAATGACGCGGTGCGAATAGCGGGATACGCGCGAGGCGAATTGAGCATTTTGCGCGTTTGACTCGCTTAACGAGCGTTTCGCGCAAATCTCTTGAGTTTGAAAATCTGAACTTCAGCGGACATTCGCGCCGCGTTAACCAATCAGAAGCTTGCTCTTGTGGGAGCGTGATTGTGACGTAGAACCTGTTGATGGTGTTCCAGGGGATCTGCGCTGGGCTCAGTCAGAAGCACCGTTGAAAGCCTCCGTGATCCAGGTTTAGTTTCTGGAGGAGTTTATGAGCTCACAGAGCTGGATGCACCTCTGAAAGCATGTAGTGGACTCAGACACGACCCTAAATGTATCGACACTGTTTTTCAGCCTTCATAAAGTACATAAACACTGTTATTTTCTTCATAAAATCCATTTTAGCCATTTAGCAACCACGCTACTGTCACCGGGCAGACAAAAGCCCTGCCCATCACGCGAATCCGCGTCTGTTCTGAAGTGAATTTGACACGCGAATGAAGCAAATTTCACGCCTGAATGAAGTGAGTAAACTCAAATGTTCATCCTGCAACTTACGCGCAATTTATTCCGCGTCTGGTGTGAACACAGCATCACTTGGTAGCACCCGTGCTCCCAACCTGAAATATTTAGGAGCACCAGAAAAAATGTAGGAGCATCCACCAAAAATTAATGATATTGACAAGTTGTATATTAAAGGATTTATTGTATTTGAAAACAACATCAATTGGGACTAACAAAACCCAGAAACAACTATCTAACTAATGCTGTGATGATTTAATATTTGTGCAATAATTCCAAAATTAATGTTGAATAATTATAAGATATTAATGATGACAATAATACTAATAAAGAGCTATATTTCTCATCATCATGCTGCCTTGAATGTGCTTTAATGTGAGTTATCTGCTATATAAAGTCCTACTGTTACTCTATGGAAAATAAATTGATGGTTTGCATCAAACACAAGTGAAGCATTGCAGTAAGAAATATTTATTTTGCACTATTGTTTTTATATGCATGTCAATTTAATAAATACTAGCCTATTTCTGCTACAAAACAAACAAAATAATATAATAAATCATTCAATTCAATGCTGAAAGCTGCAAAGCAGTCATCAGTAATTAAATAGAAAAATAATAAACACCTCAAGAAAGAACGGACAAAAGAAAGGAGGAAGAGTCTCACTTTTAAAAGTTTTGGTTTTGGTTTGTGTCGTTTTAATGCTCAGCCTCGTTACGCTCTGAATTACATCTTTCTGTGTTTGTGGAAAAGCATGCGAGTCAGCCGACCCAATATATGAGGGGGGCAGAGCAGGATTCTCCCGATGACCACCGGCGCAATACTGTTCTCTGTTTTAACCCGCATCAGTTTAAACGCAGTAAAGGCGAGCTTCTTTGGCGATGGTGTTTTAGCGGACATTTGCACTGTTGCAGCCTGA